AGAACACTGAAATGAGCAAAACCCAAACTTCTGAGAACCAGGAAATGCACAGCTAAGATTCAAAGGGAGGGCCCATTAATTTTGTTAGGACAAGATTAGGACTGAATGGGGGAACAAATTGTTGCACCTGAGGATATAATCTGCCCAATCCTTTTAGAAATAGAATAATTATAGAGTTGGAACAAAGTGATCACCCACCCACAAAAGGGTGGAATGCTGAAATGACTGCCAAATGTACTTTAATAGCACTGTCAGATCTTGGTGTTTTATGTGCAAGAAATAATTCACAGTGGTTAATAAAAGCATGCATTCAAGACCAAATAGAGAAATGTTTCCATTTGACCAGGTAAGTATGACTAATTGAAAGCTTTCTGCTATTCAGAAGCATCTCCTGCTCATCTTTTAACTAATTCTTATCTAGGATGTTAGCCATGAAGCACCTCCTCTGTCAAGTGCAGTGCTTATAGGTCTCTTCCACTTGAATATATAAAACATCCTTTTAAGCAGTTCTTAGTGAGACCTGTAATCTTCCTGTGATCAAGAATCACTCACCATCTCTATCACCTTATCTGGTGATAAGTAACACAACATGCCTTGAGGGCGGGGGGCTGGACTCGATGACCTCTTGAGGTCCCTTCCAGTCCTATTATTCTAGGATTCTATGCCAGGTTACTGAGGCAATGGCTAGTCTGCCTCTTGTAGCAGAGAAGCTGTATAAGTATCTTCCCATTGCTTGGTCCTGGTCAGCAGGGAATGTTGTCTTCAGGACAGATGATCTCAGTGCACCTTTGATGAAGCCAGCTCAGATGGATAAGAAGAGATCCTAGCATCAGGATAAACATCCCACCATATCCAGAACAGCCACTAGCATGGTGATGGAAAGCCCCACAGTTACACAGGCCATTGCCCCTTGAGATGCCCCCCTCTACTGGGACAGCCACTAACCCTAACACTCTGATGCAGGAAAAGTTTTCCATCAGGTATGGGTCATAATAGGACCCGTTTTCAAATCCAAAAAAAGAGGAATCAGTCATACAATAATGCTGAAGCAGAACCCATGTGGACAGGAAAACAGTAAGTCAAGCCCAGAGATGATGGTACCGGGGATATTCATTGAGGTAGGCAGGAGAAATGGGGGCATAGGGACATCATTTGAGCTCCCTGCCTTAGGTGCCAAAGTGTTGTGGGTTGGCCCTGTTCGTAGGCACCAGAAGTGGCATCAGTACCATGTGCTCTTGCAGAGCTGATATAGTGACTGCAGTTGCCAGTGGGCTGGAACCCTTCCTGAACTATCAGGGACACTGGTACCAAGAGCTTAGGAAAGTCTCTAGTGACAGCATACACTCTGGTGTTGTCACTACTGAAATTGGATCTTGGGTCTGACACGCAAACTTCAGAAGATGACCTCAACAGATGTGGCACAGGTTCCAAATTGACAAATCTCCCTTTGCAGCAGATGGGCATACTGGGGAAGGCTTCCCTTCAGAGTTCTTGCTGTTAGCTCACTTGGGTACTAAAGTTCTTGCTAGATAACATACCTGGTCATTGACAGATGTGTCTCCTTCAGTTCTAGAGATACTGAACACAGTGCCAAAAGGCCTCTTAGGATGCACACAGTGTACTGACATCATCATCATCTGGTATCAATGAGGGAAAAACTGAATATGGGGCATGCACACAACTAAAGTGGAATGACATGTGCAATCACTCAAAGAATGTTTCTGTGCCATAGCTTATACATTTACTGGGTAGGCATATACCTGCTTATCTCCTGAATAAATATTATTCTGACACTTAAACACTTTCCACATAGTCGCTGTACTGATCATTCAAATGTTCAGCCAAATCAGAGAAAACTACTCAGCCTCTGGATGCAAATTTCAGATGCAGTCCAAATCTATTTTCATACATTGTTTACTTTAAGGTATATACAGTAAACTTCCGATAACCCGGAACCTTTAGGACCCAGGGGGTGCCGGATTATCAGATATGCCGGACTATCAGAAGGGGGGGCTATGAAGGGTCTGGAGTGGGGTAGAAGGGGATGCCACCCCAGACCCCTCATAGCCCCCCCCTTACAATAGTCCGGCTCTGCCCCAGGCGTCCCTGATTCAGCCACTGCTGGTCAGTTTCAGCAGCAGCTGAATCAGGGATGCCTGCAATAGAGCAGCTGGGGTGCTGCCAGGTTGGTCCCACAGCGCCGAGGAGCGGCACTACAGCACCAACCCAGCAGCGTAGAAGGGGATGCCACCCCAGACCCCTCATAGCCCCCCCCTTACAATAGTCCGGCTCTGCCCCAGGCGTCCCTGATTCAGCCACTGCTGGTCAGTTTCAGCAGCAGCTGAATCAGGGATGCCTGCAATAGAGCAGCTGGGGTGCTGCCAGGTTGGTCCCACAGCGCCGAGGAGCGGCACTACAGCACCAACCCAGCAGCACTCCAGCTGCTCTTGGGGACGCCTGAGACAGAGCCGCTGGGGTACTGCCCGGTTGG